TCAGTATAAAGAAGGAAGCACTCGGGGATTGATCTTCTTCTATTTGAGACTGATCAGGTATAAAGTGAAAAGGTGGTGGCAATGAGGAGGAGGCTATTTTAGCTAAATGCTTGGAGCCTTTACCGCGCCATGAGGTTAAGAGAAAGAAACAAGGCCAGTTGAATATTTTTAACTCAGGGACTTGTTATTGAGTTCGAGCAGCTATGATCAAGAGACAAGGTGTTACAACTATTTTCAGTTACAAGTTAGCTCCAGTTTGAGGAGATCAATTAGCTCAACTCTCTCCAAGCTCCGCCTGTACCTGGATAGTTTAACTCCCCAATAACGGTTTGGGAAGCCCACTGGCCTTGGCCCCGGATTTATCACACAGCTACACTGTGTTGCCAAGATCCTTGAGCGATTAGAAAGCAGTCAGTGCCAGAAAATCACTTCTAGAAACTACCTCGTCACACTCTCTGAATAGCTTTAGTTTAGTACCTTTTATAGATGAGTAATATACCCACTAATACTTCCGGTTACCCCTTCCAGTCCCACAGCTTGCAGACCACACGTTTTAGGCTCCAACATATTTTCCTGACACATCAGCTTGTATCAACCATGCCCCTGTCTGCTGCGTAACTCAATTCATCCTCAGTAATGTGTGATTTGTGTCCATCACAGATGAGCAGAAGAGGATGAAGGAGAAAAACACCCCCAGCGATTGAATTCTCTATGTGTGCCAGGAACTCGACAAATACTTCAGCCTTCATCCGCATTGCAAAGGAAGCTTCAGGCTCACAATCTTCATCCACGCAATCTGCCGACGTTTCCCCTTGAAGATATAATTTTTTTGCAAACGACCGCCGTCTGCCGGGATTGCTGCGACAACGGTAATTCTTTTTCTTTCGTTGCATCCGATACTGGTGACTTGTGTGCAGCCTCTCTGAGCAAGTACCCAACAACCTTGCTCTTTCTCGCCCGAAATTCAGCCCCGTTTCATCAAAGTTCAGGATCCGGCTCACAGGGAATTCACTTTGCTGTAGCACTGCACGGTAGCGAAGGAAGAAAGGCTCAATGGTCCAGGGCACAATCGTTGCTGCACGTCTCTGCTCCACAGTTTCGGTTGATCTTAGAGTTAGGCCAGGATGTTTGCGACGGAAGCAACTCCACCACCCACGGGAAGGCACACCATTTTTGAACGGGAGGCCTTTCGCGTTGGCAAGTTCGCCTACTTTGGAGCTCACCATCCTGATGGTTAGTGCCCAGCCCAAACGTACGCGCTCCTTAATCCAGTCCACGATAACGCCCTCCTTTTCGTCGCTGAACATCACAGGGAGGCCTTTGCTTTTTGTGGTGGTGCGTCCATAGAGCCAGTCTGCAAGAGTAGTAGGCGGGATGCAGGAGGCAGCTCTAATGGACAAGCCATTTTCAATCTCGTCAACTGCCTGGAGGACTTGAGCGACAGTCCAGTCGCTCTTTTAAACTTCTTTTATGCGTGGGACGGGACAGACTCGTTACTTTGCGCTTCTGCAGGGAGATCATGGGATGGTGTTTGTGCTGCTGGAACTGGAGTATGTTAAGTTTCCGGAGCTGTTACCGATTCGGTTGCAAAACTTGGAGTAGCACCACGAGGATCTGCTTTGATTTCGAACATTCTTTTAATCATTCTTGACTTCACTTTTTATTTTTATAGATGTTGCAGAGAGTAGCCACCAATCTTCTCAGCGGACTAAGACATTCTTCCCATCCCTCCCTACAGCTATAGACGACGATCTGGAAGAGCTCTCCTCTTCAGTTATGCACAAACAAGTTAGTAGGCATGAAGTTTATCTCCCGCATCTTGGACTGATGAATGGCTCCGGCTCACTCGCAATCTAGATCAAAGAAACTAGTAAGAATCCACGAAAGCACAAGAAAGAAAAAGAGTGAATTCAGACTTGTTTCATCGCGTGACTTCTAGCACTTAATTCCGAGATGATCGCTCTGTTGTCCCTCCGATGGTCATGAGGTCTGATTCCCATGCGCTGCATCATATCTCTGCAAAGACGGGAAATTTCAATCCACGAGGATGAAAAAAAGAAATCACCCAAGAGAAGAGCCACGGAGCTGGAAAATTTGTTCGTTATACTTTTCGTTAAGTTGTTCTTCGAACTCCACCAATCCAAAATTTCTCTGCTATCCTTGCCTGATTCCTCGCGTCGGATAGAGCAAGCTCGTGATCTGCGAGCTGTCGACATGGCTAGGCATTGGAATTCTCCTGCTCTTGAATTTCGGGAGGCCGTTAGGGTCTTCGAGGATCTGGAAGAAGAAATTCCACCGCATTGTCAAAAATCTCCAGAAAGGAGCGAAGAAAACGAGATAATCTGCGATGATCGGTCGGAAATTTCAAGCAAACGATGGATAGAGCAAGGAAGAGCAGCTAGAAGATCGATCTGACTGACCCGAGAGCCACTCACGCAAGAGAAGGCAGCTACCAGGATGGATTGATCGAGATCTCACCGAGGACGCCGCGGATGATACCCCATCCTTGAAGATGCTCTCATCGTCCTCGCTCATTTCAAAGAAACGGGAAGCGCCAAGATTAGGGCGGCGTAGGGTAAATGGTCTAAAACCCTAGAAGAGGCGAGAAGCGCGAGAGAGCGAGAGGGGCGAGCTAAACGGCGCCATGGCGGATGACGACAGCAAGGACATTGCCACAGAGGTAAGCGAGCTGGAGTGTTCTCTCCACAGTGCGATTGTGGATTGGAATCGATTGGAGTGATTCCAACCGGAATGCGCTCTTCCAGATTGGACCCTTTGATCCCACCAAGAAGAAGAAGAAGAAGAAGGTCCGGATGGCGGAGGACGAGGATGGCGATGGCGTGGAGAAGCTAACGGAGAAGGTTGAGAGTCTCTCAAGTGAAATCTACCCACTTTTTCTTCTTTTTGCTCCGTTTTTTTCTTGACGAGATTGATGGCTGTAGTGTCTGTGTCTTCTTCTGTGGATAACTCCGCTGAGACTGTCTTTGCCGGGAAGAAGAAGAAGAAGAAAAAGAAGGTACTTTCCATCTGTGTTCTTGTTCTTTTGTTGGAGCTTCTGTTGTTTTCTCTAGCCTGTGGAAGCTGATGTCGCGGAAGAGGAAAACTTGGATGCTGCCGAGACTAATGGTATATCTGATGCATATGACTGAAAGAGTTCAAGCTTTTTCTTTCTCCCTTTGATAGGACTCGAAGAAGGCAAAGACAAGGATCTTTTAGGCCAAGTAGAAAATGGCATGAGGCCACATGCCATTCAGTAGCAACATTGGCATGCACTGATTGGGCTCTCGAGTGCAGTCCGGTTATAGATGGCGTGTAGTTTCACACCATCTTAGGATGCAGCCTCAAGACATCTGATGCAGTGGTGAATGGCGTGTGGCCTCACGTTAATTCCAGCTGTTAGCTTTTCATCTGTCAGCTCTAATTGTTGTGCATTTCTGAACAGGCGAGGAATTGTGTTCTTCTTCCAGCCACTGTCAATGTGGATGCAGAGAAGGGGGAGGAGCTCACCAGTTGGACTTTCGGGATGGAAGGCGAGGATCTGAGGCTGTACAACACAGATGGTGGGAGAAAAGAATGCATGGGGATCCTCATCCAAGTGACAAACACTCCATGTACTTCCATGCAAGAATATAGACTTGCACTTGTGGTAGAGACAGCGTCCGCCTTCAAGATCCACCTTGCACATCCTAGCGGCTTCCCGGAGGGGGGCAGTGGCTATAAGGAATTCCTAGAGGGAGCTAGGGAGAAGTTGTCCAGGAGGCCCACAATTTCAAAGACGCTGCGAGTCTATGAAGATCACATGGAATCCACGGACCTCACCTACGGCGATGTTCAAAAACTATATTCTAACATTGAGCCATTGAGAGTGCCTCCAGTTCGCAAAGCGAAGGGGAAGAGGGTCGATCTAGAAACTACTCCGAAGCAGAAAAGGGTGGTCAAGCTCAAGCCGACGTCCGACTCTCCTGCTCCAAAAAAGAAGCTACTCGGTGATGCCATTGCCTCGGGTTCGAACACTACACCCACCAAAAAGAAGAGCCGCAAAGAGCAGAAAGAGCAAGAAGAGGCAGCAAAAATCGTCGCAGATAATAGTACTTGTTACTATTCCAACAAAGTATATACAATTGACGTGAGCCGTATCGACATCCAAAGCAAATACAACCACAGGCTAGTATCTGATGAGTGGGTGGAGAAACTGAAGCAGAAGATGTTGGCAAGTCCAGTAACACCCGACATCGCAAACGTGATCCCCTACTACCGAACAATGAAGGGCGAGACGAGGTTTCCAGACTTGATCAATAGGAAGGTGTTGGACGATCAGAACATCCGGTTCTATGCCGTCTCTGGGCAGCATTCTAGCTTGGCGATGCAAGAGATAGTTGTGGATATTATGGTGGGTGAGGAGGTGAAGAAACTCTTCAAGACAAGAGTTGTCCGCCTGATAAAAGGCAACTCGCCCCTCCGATCTATCATATACATCTCCCACGCGCAGAATGTCAAGCAAGAAACGTACTACAAATCGGGTCTGCACGAAACATTGGCACGAATACGGAAGCTCTGGGTTCAACTGAAGAAGCCACAAAAACGAGGGCAAGGACGTGCACTAGCAACTAGCGCCTGGCAGGTAAGCTTCGTTGCATGTGGCATAGCATGTGGCCTCACGCCATTTCCATTGCAGGAATTCTTGAGTCTTCTCTCGAAAACACTGGGGGTCAATGACACACTTAGCATCCATAACATTCTACTCGCGACAAAAGTTGTTTTTGACAAATGGGTAGATGTGCTGAGGAGGTACCATGACGGGGAGTTGCTAAACTCAATGGGTGTGGAGGACGGCCAGAAGCCCAATGATTTGAAGCTCAACTCCTTGCATTTCTCGCGGTCTCTAGACGACGATGACCTTCTGACAGTGGCTAATGCTCTTCTACGTGGTGAGGTAGTCTTCAACAAGACCAAAATGACTCCCGGCCATATTGTGACATACGAGGACTTGTGCACGACTCTGAGAGCTCGTGCGCTATTGAAGGATTGGATCTTCGAGCAAGTGGCCGTGGAGAGGGTGAGCATCGACACCACGCAAGAGATGATGGAAGCGCTAGAGTTGTCAAATGAAGACATCGACGAGTACGTGAAGGGGGCCCCCAAGTTCATCGATCTACTGCGGGATGCCACGAAAAGTAAAGCTGAGAAGTTGGATCAGTATCTAAATTTCATTAAAAGGGATGTCGACCGCCGGCTTCAGAAATAGCTCGACCCCGCAGCAGAGGCCTATCGAGAACCTTACCAGGTATACGTGAATTCGGATGAGGATCAAAGGTGGAGGAGCATCGTTTCCCGCAGAGATGAGCAGGTCAAGAACATCTTTTGTGTGATGGACTTCACAAACGAGGAGATCACTCATGCAGACGAAGTCAGCTCCATCATTGACTTAATGGTGGGACTTGCGGAGGTGGATCTTCAGTCCACTATATGATCTACGACTCCAAATCCTATCACAAGTTCTGGAAGGCCTTGACGAGGTGAAGGCTCGGTTAAAGGCAAGGAGATGCGCAGATCCATGGGATAATGCTAA